AACAGTCCTTAATCTATTGGTTTGTTTTGTAAAAGAGATTGATCAGTTTGGATTTTTTTTCATTGTTTTTTTTTATCGAAATCTTTGAATCTATTATATCTAGATTACTTCCAATGTTTTATGAAACAGATATAATATTTTATTAGGAAAAAGAGTTGTTTTTTCCAACTAAATATAGGCATTACAATAGTAGAACGATGATTTCATTCATTCTCCTAATCAAAAATTGAAAAAAAACGACGATTAAATTTCCGCGGTGGATGAAACTCTTGAAATGCTTTTTTTTTGTCTTTTTGAGTTCCTTTTCTTAGTGAAGTTACTGATGTATCTATATTAAAAACAATGAAACGTTAAATACATTGGGATTTCAATATTCCATATTGGAAATGATAAAACAGATTTTTTAAAGATTTTATACCATAGTTATTAAATCATAATACTAAATGGCGCTTTTAACTAATTTGTGTAGGAAATATATACAGATTTTTTTACTATATATACATACATCTCATTATTAGTTCTTACTTTAAAGACTCTCTGTTCATCTCCCTACAAAGGAAAAACAAATGTTTGCCAAGAAAACACAACCAAAGTTTGGATGCTTTAGTAATGTGTTTGTTGTTTTGGTTCGTTCTTCAAGATGGCGAAAAGCTTCAAAGTGGTAAGAAAAACTTTCTTACTTGAGTTACAAGGTAAAGATCTTCTTTATTTGTTCAATTACTAATTCATTAGGTCTTGTTTTCTTTGCAGCAAACACCATATCCAGAATCTGTTATGTTCAATCAAAATACATCGGAGACGAAGAGAGACTATGGTTAGACAATCCCGATCCGATATCGCGGAGCTCCTTCTCGATGACCGCTTTTCAGATGCACTTCCCAAGGTATTTGAGACAAAATTTCAATCACCATGTAAAGTTCTGTTTTAATAGATCCAAATCTCGCTCACTTTGCTTGATCTGTTTAATAATTTCCTCTTTGAATAATCTTTGTTTTTCCGGTTTAGGCGAAACAATTCTATGAAGACGAGAGAAGGTTATCGGCCTACGATCAAGTCGAATACTTATGCACATCCATCTTAGAGAATTTCTCTCCTTTTATACATCAAGGGTAAGTTGTTCCTGATGACTTGTAACACAGGGTAACATAGAAACCCTAAACGCTTCAAAAACACTTAATTATTTTCTGTTGTTTCTTTGATCAGCGATGTTAATCTCTTACCGGAAGAAACTAAAGAAGCAATGGCCGGACTGATATTTGCGGCATCAAGAATCGGCGAGCTTAAGGAACTTCAACACATAAGGAGTTTGTTTTTTGAAAGATTTGGGTGTGCGTTTGACAAAGACAGTGTAGATTTGCGTCCTGGAAACCTCGTGAGTTCTGAGATCATTGAGATTCTAGACACGAGAATGCCGCAAGAAGAAATTACTCCAGAGATGATAATTGAAATCTCCCAAAATTACCAAGCCAATGTCACTACTTCTGCGGAGTCAAGTGAAGATTTAACGTCAAATAAAGTTATGAAGGAGAGTTCGAAGTTTCTGCATCCAAATCTTGGAGAGTCTCAGGGTAGAGATCGATCATCGTTCATGAGATGAGAGTTTATTGGGATTGTATTAGGAGAAAAAAAGAGTTATGAAGTTTTTCATTCTACTCGAAGTCTGTTTTATTGTATAAGCTGCATAATTGTTTCGCTTGGTATTCAATTGAGTTGAGAAATATAGTTGAACTAATTTTATAGTACGTTGTTTATGCCTCAGAAGCCATTCTCTTTCGATGACAAACTTTGTTAATTACTTCTTTGTTTTAACAAATAAAAAGGCTATAAACACTAGCTCTAATGAAACCAAAACATCAGAGAATATTTAAATTCCAGTGTAATGCTTTTTTAAGTTTCACAAATATGATTTTTTAGAAGTTATCTTCATTGATAAAGCATCTGTTCGCACAAAAAAAAAAAAATCTCTCAAAACAATAAAATTTAAATCCACCTTTAAAATTATATGACATATTCTAGTTTGTAAAGTAAATTGGAAAAGAAAAAAAAAACGTATATGAACAAGAAACAAACCAAAAGAGGATTAAATTTTTTTAAAATATAGTTGTGATAATCTTCACTTT